TAAGTTAAAAAAATTTCTCCCTAATCTTCCTTAAGCTGTTTAATTCAACACTTCCTTCTTTGGCAGTTTCAAAATATCGACGGTGAAACTACCAAACCACGTATCTCGGTTTGCGACGTCGCAGACTTCCTGTCATACTTTATTTTTTAAATGAAAAACTACTTAACATCCAGTCTTGAAAATTTCTGTGATTTTTTCTCTTCGTGCGGAGAAAATTCCGTGAAAATTTCAAGGAATGATATTGATTTGGTCTACTTCAAAAAAATAAAATGTGAGCGTAGATTTTTAAACACCGCAAACGAGATACGTGGTTTGGTAGTTTCACCGTCGATATGTAACTTATTTGGTGCACCGTGAGGTCAGCAATTACTAAAAATTGTTCCAAATAGTTTGAAATCCATGAAATGAGGCTACATCTTAGAAGAACTGTGGGTTCACCTGATCAAAATTTAAATATTTTCCCAGAAGGGTACCTCTCCCTGAAATCATTTAAAATCCCATAAAATACCACCTGACCCATCATGGGAACAGGGTTGCCATTTTTCATTATAAATAATAGCTTGAAGTTTTACGTAAAATCTTTCATAAAATTTCACAAAAATATGAAAAATATTTTCCAAAATTAAATGCGCAATGAAATAAAACGTTACAGGCTTTTGCTAGTTGGTGTTTTTAGTGCGTGTTGCATACACAGCCCCTGAAAATATGTTTCATATTTTTACTGCTCTGCGAAATTTCATGTTATATTTCACGGAAATTTTCAATTTTCTATATTTTTCATTTCAGTCATGCAACCCTGCATGGAAATGCAACTATGCAGGATTATTATGAAATAAGTCATCTGCAAAAGACCTTAACACCAACTAAACTTGTCCTGAAATTTAAGTCGCATACTATCGTCCACGTCTTCATCCGAGAAGGAACTATCAGAATCCTCTCCCAACTGGCCAACTGGCAATAAATGGCCCCAAGTGTTTAAGGCAGTTTGGATTCCGTTTGCTGTAAAAAAAAAAAAAAAAAAAAAAAAAAAAAAAAAAAAAAAAAAAAAAAAAATTAAAGGATTTGTCATACAATTTCGAATACTTTGGAGTTCAAATTATCCTTTCAGTCAGACAAAACAGATCTGGACACAGGTCCATGAGTTTGCAAATGATATGGAAAAGTTTCCCTTAATCATGTAACCATGTATCATCATGTAGCATGTATCATGTATGGCAGGTGCATGGATGGCACCTGCCAAAAGCAGCAATTGAAAGATTCGAAGTACAGGGAATTCTTGCAAAACTGCAAAAGTTTTCAAGCCATTTGAATAAAACAATCTATCTTGAGTAAGGCAGCCTTGCCGCAAGGGTACATGAAATGGTAGAATGCTGCTGCTAGTCTGTGATATGAGGAAGTTCTTTCATTAGGGTTTCCACTGCGCTTTCTTCTAAGCCAAAAATGGAGAAAAAACAGAAAACCTTGCTGATTTTTGAAAAGTATGATAATTTTGTTTCAAAGATTATTACTGACAATTCTGCTCACACTTGAACACACTAATTTAAGATTTTTGTTCGTGGTGTCCATGAACTGTGGATAGAATGAAGCGTAATCTTAACATCATACCGTTGCCAAATATAAATCACACACATGCACCCTTGCCATGAAATGCTAAAAATTAGTAATTATTTTAAACAAGTAAACTGTAAAATAAAGAAATAGATCAATAGCGAACCTCAGTAGCTATTTTGTCAATGTTCAAGCAATTGACAATACATTATCAAACAAAACAAGCACAGAGCGGAATCAGCATTATCAATGGACAATGGCACATCGTCAAAAGGTAAAAAAAAAAGAAAGAGAAATATTGCAATAATTGAATATTTGACCGAATCAAAACTGAATCAATAATATCATAGATAAATTATTCACTTTCAAAAATTGAAATCACAGGTAAATTATTCACTTTCAAAAATTGAAATCACAGATAAATTATTCAGTTTCAAAAATTGAAATCACAGATAAATTTTTCACTTTTTTGAACAATTTTTGAACTTCTCACATTTATACTTGCCAGTGATATAATTATTTATGTAAGTGTACACTGCTAATATGTTTCTTTTAAAAATTGCTTGATTAGCAGTGTACATCTTTTGCACCTCTTTCCGTGGTGGATTCACTTTTTGAGACAGAAATTTGCCAAAATGCTTATGGACCACGCTTTTTTCAGCCTCAGTCCACCGAGGTTTTTTGGCTTTCGGTGCTTCTGACTCCTGGTCTGACTTATTCAGATTCCCCTCTGTCTCTGACTCTGTGTCAGAGGGAATACGTGCACGTCTAAGTGTCCTCCTGGTGGGCTGTACGGGGGAGTCAATCCCAGAAGTCATTGATTTCTGTGCACCTGGCATATAAATGTCATTCCCAGATGAGGTTTCCATTTCCTCAGAAGCAACTTGTGCACTGGGGGATGATATGTCTGAGGACGTTTCGACGATTGCGCCACTTGGGCAGCCAGGCACCTGTAAACCGACTACAGGTTCGTTTCGCTTCTCCAACCGCTCTTGAAGGAGGCGAGAGCCAACGTGCAATCTGTGAATGATTTCCAAAGGCATACGATAATTCTGATGGTGGATGTGCAGCGTGTGGCCCATGGAGGTAGCCAAGTTTTCAGTATAGGTGTCGTCACGTTTAGATAGTTGGGTGTTGGTCGCGATATAGTGGCGAAGCCGGAAGCCCTGTACACGTCATGTGACCTGGCTTTTTCAGAGTTTTCTCCAACTTCCTTGTGATTTCGGAGATAATCAACGACCCGTCAAAGGGCATTTGCAAGATTATATTTTCACCAGAGGGGAGCATTTTCGGAATCACCTGGCAAAAGAGGAGATCCTCCTCTTTGGATCAATAAAAACTGCCGAACTCGAAGCTAACAGTAAATCGATTGCCTCTTCCATTGCACCGGTTAACGAAATGGGCACATTTTTATTTAATTTTCCAGGGACATGACAAATTTTCAGTGAAGACCCGAGGTCTTGTTCCGAGCTTCAAGAGGTCGGCTGGGGAGTCTCGTCTCCGACCCTTTTGCTGTAATGCAACAGCTTGGTGAAGCAGACCTCCCCAGGCCGCCTCCTGCATAACAGAATAATATCTGCTATGACATTCTTGCAAAGAGCGTCAACACTTGAATAGCTCGGGCTTGTAAGCAAATCATTATTAAACGTCATTTAAAATAATTATTAAACTGTTCAACGATTTCGAAAAGTTTCATGACTATTGAATCTATTACTGAATTACTTGGCGCACAAATTAGTACTTTTAAGTTGCGCTTATGTCGCTCTCCCCATTATAAGCGTAATGCTTCCAAAATTCGAGCTGGAGCAAAGAGAATGGTAGGTTAGGTGGACAGACGTGGAACTTCCAGCGAACAGTCTAGACGCGTCTCGGATATCTTTCAGAACACGAGTGAAATAATCCCTTTGAAGGCACCTTAAGTCGTAACAATAATACCAAATTAAACAACGGGTAACAAGCCCATTTTTTACATAAATAATACCAAAACGTTTTGACTGAAAACTCAGCCCTCTTCAGTCGGTTTAAAACAGTAAATACTTGTAAAAATCTAAATAACGTAGCACTTTCGAAGCGAAATAAATGTCGTTACCCAAGAACACGCGTACGCTCGTGCAGCTTCTTCTTGGATATAGTTTTTTGAGGATGAAGCATCCAACGCTCTTGGTCCAACATCTTCATTCTCTGAGTACCGTGCAATATCAGGAGGTAGCTCTAAATTAGCTGACGGCCGCAGAAACATTTTGGTAGTATGAAAAATCAGCGCTATGACCTTGTCATTTAAATCAGAGTTTTTTTGGGCCACTAGTCGTTTCCTTTCTGTTTTAAGGAGTTCGAATGGTTGATTAAGAAGATGAGACGGTAATTTTATTGCTAATCGTCTCTTTACTTGGGCACCACTATCTTTCCTTCTTATCGTCATGGAATCTTCTACAAGGTAAACACTGTTATTTTTTCAAAGTTTTTTAGGTCTACGTGAGAGTCTGAAAGCTTAGGCGTGAGGCGAAGGGACGTGTGATTATCCTTTGCATAGAATTCTCGAAGATATTTCCAGTCTGCAACTTTACCATTGAACTCTAATTTATAATTAATGAGATTATTTCTCCAGCACTTCATGTGGTGAAGAACATCAAAGATGTGGTATATTTTTTCCCGTGCACACGGAAAAATGGGTGAATGCCGGTGAGGCTCATTCACTTAGAGTATTTTTCAAAGTTTCTACCCAAATCTGAGAGGAAAACTGTTAACATCTAGCCCTGATTCGGCCATTCTTCTGACAGCGATCGTAATTAGCTCTTTCAATTCATAAGCTGCCACGCCAGTTTTGACGAAAAAAAGACAATAGGTTGCTTCCAACCATTTCAAATACCCCGGGCCATGTTAACTAGAGCATGTGTTGCAGTGCGAAAGCTCTTAATTACGCCCATATAATGCAGACCATGTATCTTATCTCTTGAGTGCTTATAAAAAGGTTCGCTTTCATGCTGAATTCATCCGCAACAAGAGAGCAGATGCGTCGATCTTTTGGTATAGTTGCAATTTTCGTTTTCAGCGCAGCAAATACATTCTTGTTAAATCCAGGTTTGAACTCGCAGTGTACAGTCAGGCGGCGTAGACTTCTAGCTGCTGGTCGGAACTTGATCGTGCTGAGCAAGCGGTGAGCTTTTGGACTGGAGCAAAAAACTCCGTAATTCGCGCCAAAAGAGTTTCTGCCCAAAGGGGGGTTGTCCACAAAATTTTCTACAAAAACCCTAAATGAATAAATGTAAGGGGGGAGGGTGGTTTGACCAAATTATTAACAAACAGCACTGCATCAATGATGTAGGGTAGGTGGTGAGGGAGGGGTGAACAGATTATCTACAAAGAATACGGAATGAATAACTATAAAGGTTGGAGGGGGGGGGGTTGACCAAATTATCTACCGATAGCTTTCCATCAATTATGTAGGGCGGGTGGAGGCTGGAGGGGTGAACAAATTAACTACGAAGAGTACTAAACGAATGAATGTATGGGGGGCAACCACTGCTATTTTTTGGGGGCTCTTACGGCAGTGTCCTTTCTGTTGGTGTACCTATTTATTCTGCGACCACGCTAGCTAGTTAACCTACCACAGGACTTGCGGATCCAACGGTTGATGTGATCCCGACCCAGGTAGAAGTCCTCATCATTAAGGGCAGTATTACCCCAGATACTGATCCCTAGATACTTGCATGGTCCCAACTGATGACTGTGTGTGTAGTCAATAACTACAGCAAATGGCAAGGCAGTTTTGGTAGATGAATTAAGTGGGAACCACCTTAAAAACCATTAACAATTACATTCGTGTTGTGCGCCTCCAACATATGATCAATAGATGCTGCTGCTCGCTGCTCGTTATTTTCTTAGTGTCCATATTCGTATAAATCCTGATTGTCCTAATCTTATCTTGCTGCGTTAATTTTTGAACTGACAGGAAAAAACATTTTTCTCTTTTTCCATTGTCAGTAAAATTTTAAATGAATACAAAAGGCACAGGTAACATATTTTTAGACAAAAAACAAACAAAACAAAAAATTAAAAAGGAACGCCGAAAAATCTCACAAACTCTAAACGTATGTTAGTTCCAGTATCCATTCTGGCGAGTGCACGAAATACATAATCCAGTAAATTAACTACATCTTCTGGATCTAAGACACCATAAGTTTGTGGGGCTTTGTCCATCATAAAATTATGGAGAATGCAAGATGCCCAAATGACTAGCTCCACATAGTCTGGATTGTTGGAACTAATGGTTGACAAAAATATTTGCATTCTGTTTGCTAGGATACCAAATGCATTTTCAACGACACACCGTGCTTTTGATAAGGATTTGTTGAACAACTTTTGCAATGGTGTAGGACTATGATAATCGTAGGGTTTCATTAAACGCATCCCTAGAGGGAAAGCGCTATCTGCTATTGCCACATATGGCATGGGAACAACACGACCCGGTAAGGGTCTGCGCGGGGGTAGATTGCAAAGGTTTCCCCCCAGAATTATTTTAATGCCACTGGCAGCGTACACCCCTCCATCGCTAGCCCTGCCATTGGCTCCAATATCCACGATAAGAAATTTTTTTTTTTGCATCCACTAATGCTAAGAGAATAAGGCTATTAAAACATTTATAATTATAATAATGTGCCCCATCTTCTTTCGATGGCCGAAAGGCCACATGTTTCCCGTCTAATGCGCCGATACAGTTGGGAAAACCATACTCTTCGTAGAATTCAGCTGCAATTTGTTCCCAATGAGCTGTTGTTGAAGGCACCGAAAAGAGAGAAAAGAAATTCTAAAGTCTTCCTTCCAAAAAAGTGCAGAGTAAAAAGTCCTCTGCATCTAGGGACGTAACCCGATTGCATTACTTCAATGACTACAACTACGTTATATTCCTTAATGGGAGAACCTAACCACAATATTTGGCAACAAATTTAAGCTACTTCTACTTTTTCCATGGAAAAAAATACCAGTAAACTTATCCTGCAGACTTCGTTGCAGGAGCAAATGAGACTAGGTTTTTAACTAGGTTGACAAGTTTCAGAGTCGAAACAGCAGGACCTTTTGCGATGACCTGATTTACTTTGGAAGCAGCAGGATTTGTACCTTGTGCGATAACCTGTCCTGGTGATGGATCGGTTGTTGTAGGAGCAAGTGAGACTGGGTTTTTAACTAGGTTGACAATTTTCAGAGTCGAAACGGCAGGACCTTTTGCGATGACCTGATTAAATTCCATAATTTTTCATTACGCAGACGCATTTAAATTATTGTTGTAATAGCCGCGCGCTTGGAGAGGTTAGATGGACGTTGAGATCCGCAGAGCATCGATGACCTTCAAAGGAGAGCGGGCCGCTCTCCTTTGAAGGTCATCAATCAACACTTGACTAAACGTTTACCACTTTGAAGCTCCACTTTGAACGTGTGTCCAGCCCTTTAGTGTCCATATCTAAATGCCGTGCCGATCACCTCTCCTCCATGTTTACATACGTAAAAGCTGTTTTTTCCAACTTGGGCATTAATTTCTAAAACTCTCACGTTGGTAATTACGTATATTGAAGCAAAACAGATGAAAACTTTGATGACTTTGTAAGTTCCAGTTGCTGCTCTGTACCAGCAAACTCCCTCAGTGGCAAGTCTCTGTGCCTCATCGACGAAATTACTCGGCCATATCTTCATCAAAATGTGAGGGTTGCCAAATTACAATGCTGCCATTAGGAGGTTGTATTTACGCAGCAAACCTTTCTTCTAATGGCAGCTCATTAATGAGAAGCTAGATTTGTCATAGTGCATTCTTCGAGCTTTTAAAACTGCTGCTTTATCGGCGTTGATGGTCAGACTTATGAAAGATTGACCTTCTGGAACTGCCCTCAGCAGCTTCTCGAAGAGCATTCCATCAAAAACGTCAGAAATACATAGCTTGTTCTTTATTGGTTCTGTTGCTCGGAAAATATATATTGTCTCTCTGTCAGGTTCTTGAAGTAAGTCCCTGATTTGATCAACAAGAGAGATGTTGATGTAGTAGTTTCCGTTGTAATTGGAATCTGGTGTTCCAACTGCCTTGTTGCACGATGGAAGTCGTCTTCTTCATCCCATTTAGGTTGGGGAGGCCGAAGACATTGTTCCCTGAATTTATAAGGAAATTGTACGAAAGAACAGTTTGGACAAGCTTGCTCTTGATATTCTGTTTGGTATCCTGGAGTTCCTGCATTTTGTACAACATTTCCCGGATGCAAGCATGCAGTGCTGTGCTCCTCTGGCAAACTTGGCTGATGACTTGCCTATTTAATATTGGTGTAAATTGGGGGATTTGAATAGCTGCCATTTTGGCTGCTTTCGCTGCAGCCTGGAGTGCGAGGGCATGTCCCTGCTGCTGCAGCTGTTGCCCCTCCCGCGCCAGCCTCGTCACCAGAGCTAGCTGCTCTCTGGCAGCCGTGATTTCACGCAGCGCGACTCCGCGCAAAGGGACGGGCTGCAGATTCAGGTCAAGACGGAAGTCGTCTTCTTCATCCCGAACATGATTGTTCAGGGTTGCGAAGACAACGGAGCAGGAGGAGTCGGCTACTGCGTCGAGCAGGGCCGCCCCGTGGTGGATTCTATTTGACACAAGGGTCAATTCCTGTGCAACCATGTGCCCTTGCGACAAACAGGCATAACAGGCATTTGGATGCTGAATAATTTTCCCGTTTTCGATGCTTTGTAATATACTTTGCGTTGAAAACACCTTTTCTGATTGCTTAGCCCTGGGCGGTACCTTTTGTGTAATTATTGCAGAACGGACACCACTCTTTGCTCCGAAAGCATGAAAGCAATTCAAAATTTCGAGCACTCGTTTTGTCACTTTTTGTAACTCATATGTTGATTGTTCATCATTTTGACTTCGAAGAGTTACTGAAAGTCTCTAAATGTCACTTAAGAGTCACTTATTGTATGAGATCTATTCAAACACACCAAAAATAAACGGTAATTCGCTGGAGTTTAATACAGCCGGGGAGCCAAAAATAGGGCATTTGCTACTCGAAGGAAGTGTTTTTAAGGACCTTTTAACCCAGTAATTCTCGCAAGATATACTTGATAAAAACTTCCGCGATATAAGCGCAAATTCACATAACACTCCAACAAAAAAAGCAAAATATCTCAAATACAAACTACTGCCTCACATTTTAAAAAATGTGACACTCAAAAATGACTGTTAACTCAAAGAAAACTACGAAAGGTCTATGACTTCAAAATCCGGAAAGAAAGCCAAGCTTCAGAACACCGTGGGCAACCGATCTACATTTTTGCATCAGTGTTGAAGCCAGTCTAGACTGTACTAAATGCAATGACCCTGAGTTTCATATGCAAAAGCTTACTTGCTCATAAAAGTGCATTCATGAAACATTTCTGCAATGAAGTTTGGCTGCAAAGGTCCATGAAGAGACAACGCGACGCTCCGCTCGCGACAATGTCTTCGCCAAGGGTCGAACAATAAAGGACTACGTGCAAAACGGGCCATTTGGGGCTCGGGGCGGATACCTTTGAGACTTGCCCTATTCATTCACCTAACAATGCCCCATCTTTTCCCAAAGTTTCAAGCCCCCCAAAAATTTTGGGGAGACGCGGCGGGGGGTCAAAGTTCAAAACCGGCAAAATTTTCGCGAATTTATTACTCGAAAACCAAGAAGTTTTCGTAAACGCGGTTTAAACGAGCGTATTTAGCGTGACGAGAGCTTTCAGAAANGTTATCAAACTGTTTCATTACAGTACAGAAGGTTTATGTCTTTGCAACTATAACAATTTCAATTGTGGCAACTATGATTTTAGCTCGCGAAAGCATCAACTCCTACTGGTTATCTTTTCTAGCTGGGAGTAAACTAGTTGCCTCAAGATAGAGAATTTTTGTCACTCACTTCCCCAAACACTCTTTCACAAGAGAGCATCGTGCAATGTTATTCCTGATTATGAAATTGTAACTCGGAGAAGCTGCGATTTGAATGGTTACAGAGCAGGGATGGCCATAAGCAGTGTAAATGATGGAACTCCACATGATATACTTACCAGCTCTGAGGGACTGAACTCAATTATTCTCAAATTATTAGCCTTCATTTCAAGTAACCGCAACTGTTCTTACCTACAATAGCTATTTAAGGAACCGTAGTAATACTCAAGGGGCCTCCCTCGTTTTGATCAAGAATAGAATAAATATTATTTTAATTCAGATTCTCGCGTACTCTTTCAAAATTTAAAAGAGGCAGGTAGATGGCAGAATCTTTAAAAAGACCAAAAAAATTGCTTAAAAATACAACACTTCTGGCAAAACGGTCCTGATACTTTTATGGATGCGAAAACTGTGTTCAGTCAAGATGTCTAGCCAGAACAAAATAAAATACCTTGCAAAAATTTGAATGTTACAATCCATTTCAGCCCCTTGCTTTTTGACCTTTTCTCATGATGTTTTAACACATTGTCCATCAACTAGGTAACAATGTGAGGATGACAATGACAACAATAATTGAATTTTAAAAAAAAAAGATTTTAAATGAACACTTATTTTATTCCTGAGCAAAAATACAATGAAATAATAGAGAAAAAAGACTCTTTACACACATTAATATAATTAAGATACCTTTGGCAGTAATTGAGACACCTTTAGGAATGTTCAGAAACACAAAGTTTCCTTGAACTAACAAACAAGGGAATGACAAGGACAATAATTGAATTTTAAAAAAAAAGAAAAATGAACACAAATGTTGTTCCAGAGGAAAAAGACATTAAAATAGAGAAAAAAGACAGTTTACACATTAATAGGACAAGATAATTGAGATACCTTTGGAAATAATTTAGACACCTTTAGAAATGTTAAGAAACACACAGGTTTCCAAAAAATTAAGTACAGAAATATAAAATTACAGTCCTTGCAAAAACTAGTGCTTCATATTTTCAGTCATCACAATTTCAACAGTCTTCCAAAGAAAGTAAAAAATCTACTAACAATGCAAAAATTTAAAACAAGTGAAAAGTAGGAAAAATAAATGAATAATTAAAGGCAAGATGGTGAATGAAGAGAGATGGATTGCATTTTGCAAGAAGGAACCAAGAGCATTGCAATGTTGCTAAGATCGTGCAACTTTTTTTGTCCGGGAGGAAAAATCTGATCATCTAGGTATAAACAGATTTTATTTTACACCCTAAAAACTGCAAATTTAAGAAAAAAGTCTCAGTACTTCTATTGCAAAGGATGAATTTGCACAGTATTAGCAACATTTCAATCCTCTTGGTTCCCTTATGCAAAATGCAGTCCATGCTATTTGGGTTAACTACTTTTTGACTGTGACAGAAGATTGTCCAACTTCTTTTCAGCATTCAAAATAAATATAAGAATCAGCATGACTAGTTTTCTGTTCCTGACTAAAAGAAGATAAACTTATTTCCCGTTGACTTCACTACTTGCAAGACTGACGCAAATTTTAAATTTGCACACTGACAAAATTTAGAATTAAGTCTAATGAGCGCTTGGCGCTTACATATTTTATAATAATTAGCCTACTTATATCTCACTTTGGAAAAGTAAACTAAATTGAACACTAAAGTGTGGAAAAAAAGAACTAAATAAACTGTACACTAAGAGTAACTGAGAATTCTTATGGTACCACTTTTTGGGAACCATCCACAGGGGTAGTTTCCATAGATAGAGGAACTACAGAAACCGATCTACGTTCTAAAATGTGTTCAATAGTTCAGTTTGGCTTGTCACAGAATCATGCTTTGATGATTGGTTCTTGTACGTAGATTAGCTAAAAATAATAAGATCTGCCCAAATAGCAACTTCCTCCATTCAATATCAGCAGAGATATCCCCCTTTAAAAAGTCAGCTTTTTGACATCATTCAACAGGGTACTGACACTCTTGGTTTCCTTTACCTTGTTTTCCTCGAAGTTTTATATTGATAACCCAGTGCAAATGTGCATCACACAGACTGATGAAAGCACGGTTGAAAAATCCAAGGGTGTCACTACCACGGTGGATGACGCCAAAAACTCAACTTTTCAAATAAAAATATCTTGGTTAATATTGAACGTACAAAGTTGCTGGTTGGACGGATCTTATTATTTCAGCTAATCTACAAGAATCAAGCATCAAAACACGATTTTATGACCAGTGGAACTCACCTTAATGGATCACTACCCAAGGTATGAATTTAACCATTGTGATACATGTTTCTTGGTCAAAAGTTCACGAAGAACACAATGCGCACAATGAAAATCACTGAAATCAACTCATAACGAAGATATTTTATGTTTCTTCATGCGTAAATTCACACCTCCCGCTCATGAAAACTCAATGATTTACAAGAGTCAAATCGCGCACTAATCAGCACCATAACGGTCTCTGCGATATGAAAACAAAGCAATATTGATTTCAATGCGTTCGTTTATTTGATGCACGTTGGTAACACTTTGAAGAAGACAGGACGAGAAAGGAACACAGCTCGATTAAGAAGCTCGCCACTACCATTGAAGTGCACGATTTGACTCACGTAGAGCTTTGAGTTTTTGTGAGCAGACAGTTTAAATTTCCCGTAGCCAATGTAAAATAAAAACGTTAATATCTTCATTAGGAGTTTATTTCAGTAATTTTCGTTGCGCAAATCGCGTTCTGCGTGAAGTTTTCGTAATGAAACGTGTTGCAGAATGCTAGAATTCGTACCTTGTCCAGTAAACCATTAGGAGAGAGGAGATTTTAGTGGGAATCTTTTTTCCATCATTTCTTGTCTTCATTAAAAGTTTTAAAAGTGTTAAAAGTAAATCATCAAGTAATCATAAAGTAATCAAAAATTTAAATCATTTCTGGAATGATTTTTCTGGAATCAATTCTGGGAAATCAGTCCTGAAACACACGAAAACACTTTACATTAATGACTAAAGAAATGAAGAATTAAATTCAATAAATTTTAAAAATCATAAAAGTGTCACAATTTAATTGGTTCTTGATAGCAAGACCCACGAATACCACTGCAAAAAATTCCAAGTTTTCCAGAGTAAAGCTTTGGTTTCCCTTTTTAATATATTAAATCTAGGCACATGTTACGAAATATGCCTCACATCATTCTGAAAAATAAGCAAATTAAAATCACACGACACACTCTATTGGTTCACTACTGGAGAAGCGGAACATAGTTATGAAAGCTTGGGGAAGTAATATCCAGTCAAGTACGAACCTAATCAGACACTAGTTGTAAAATGGACGTTGCCAACACCTTCATCCCCCATCCGTTGAGGTGAACTCCATCAGTGCTCATATGTTGTGGGGCCTCAATTACTTTAAGCCCATTTCTTTTGCCTAATGAGACAATCCATTCATTGGTTTGACGGATTGCCTCTGCTAGAAATGGCTTCTTGGGGATGGGAGGCAGTTTTACAAGAATAATTTTCTTAAAAAATGATGATTCAGTAGCATGCATTGCAAGGTCATAATAGGCCGTGAAGTCGAATTGGCCATTCTTCAGGAAATCATTCGTCCCTAGAAGAATGACCAGATTCGATGACTGCAAAAATCTAGCATTTTTGCAGAAATCCAAAAATGTATGTGAACTTTTTCGGACAGTGATTCCAGAAATTGCTAAATTAGTCACTATATAACCAGCAAATTTATTTTTAAAGAACTTGGTTCTCTGCATTCTTCTGAGGATGCTGTCACTCAGAAGTACAACTCTCTCCTGAAACAGAGGCAAACACTAGGGTACATCTAAAATGGAGATAACCATATTTTTTCACGCAAACAATAAAACTAAAATTAACTGAAGTTTTTTCAAAGCCACCCTTTTCATGAAATCTTTTCTACCTACTCCTTGTGAAAGTGTTGAATAATTTTTTAAAATATGCCCTAAACAATCTAAGACCAAGAAAGGGTAATGAAAAAAAAAAATGAAAAAAGAAAAATTCTAGGTTTCATCAAGTAAGTGACTAGTTGTCAGCTTCTGAACTATCGAGTGAAGTAGACTTTAGCAATGTGCTCTCGGACGTAAGTATTGGCTTTCAGTCTGGGCACAACGGCAACACAGCATCCTTGTCTCTTTCAGTCATCCTCGATTCCTGTTGAACAGCTGCAAACCAGTAGATGGAAACAATAGTAGACAACTGCCAACTTAACTGATGACACCTTTAATAATGCATTTGATGCAATCAATAACTGATTTGATCACTAAACACTCGTCAAAAGAGAAGATATTCAATTCAATCAACCTCTCACAAATTTTGAACACTTACTAATTTCGTTTTAAAAAGTACTTAACTTAATTCATGATGATTTTATTTTTGGATAAATGTGAAAAACGAAGGAGAGAAGTGATTTCTGTGAAGGCTGTCTTCACATCAAATAACATTGGAATATCAAATTCTTAATTTACACTAACCTTTTGCATCGAGGCCACCACCCCCTCTACGATGGTAGGCAACAACTTCGGCATCATCTCCTGAATTACTGCAGTAACGACAGCCTATATGACACAAAACAACACAAAAATCAAGTGATGAAATAATATATGACATCACACCTGCTGCTAAAAGAGAGTGGAACAAAATACAAATCTAGGTATCACATCACAACTGCTGCAAATAGAATAAGTTAAGAAAATAAATAAAATACACCAGCTTTCTCAATTCAAGCATCCGCTGAATTAACAACCTAACAACCGATTTTTTTTCACATGAGGAGAAAAAATAGTTTATGATTAAAATTTATGCTAGCTCTTTTGCCACCAGAGAGCTAAGAGAGCATTCCAAATAGTTGGAAGTGCAGTTTCCAGCTCTAAATAATCTAAAGGAATTAGAAATTGAATTTCATTTTCACAAAAATCATCAGCACCTCAACATTTTTTTTTCTTCACATTCATTTCCTTAATGGACCTTTTCCATAAAAACCATAAACTTGAAGCCATAATGCAGGGGATCCCCATCTTACTCTGAGAGTTCACTTCTAAGATCAGTCAAACTCTCCATCACCAAATAAGTACATCACCAGGGTTGCCACTTTATTTAAGCCAAACCATAGGACTTTGAAACTAATAACTGTCTAAAACGACCATTATAATAAAAAACTTATTCCATATTTTTACTATATTCATATAATTACTGATTCCAACTGAATCTAGTCCTAAAATGATTTCTGTTAAAAATTCGCTACTAAATATTAATTTTTACCATCTAGTAGTGAGATTGAACTTAATTTTTACCATAAGAATCCAAGTAATTTTGAAACTTTAAGGAGTATTTTTTGTAAAAGCAAAAACTGCATGTATCGGCCTTAACTATCGAGCCCCTTACAGGATTGCCAGCCAAATTATTTTTTTCCATTCCCTGACTTTTCCCTGACTTTCCAAAATTTTTCCCTGACTTTTAAGTATGGATCTGACGCAGTCTGTTAAAGTGAAATTGATCCAGTTGATCCCGCAGCACGAGCCTGAGACCGCCCGCGCCTAATTCCACGAAAAATCAGAAAAATCCCTGACCAACACGGAAATTCCCTGACTTTCCCTGACTTTTCCCAATTGATTTTTTTCCCCCGACTTTTCCCGGTCGCTGGCAACCCTGCTTAAATGTTTCCCTGTCAAAACTTCACGTACAATCCATGATGTCTAAAAAAATTACTAAAATATAAATTAATTCAAGATAATACCATTTTTCAGCAAGTGAATTTAAACTTAGCGCTTCAATCCCCGCTTATCTTCACACTTCAAACCTGTAAGGCGCTAGTGTCCTGCTTATTCTTTATTCAAATTTTCTTCCAACGTCACAATGAATTAGAAAGGAAAAAAAAGAGGACAAATTTTTCTATAAATTTAGAGTAGATTATTGAAAAGAAACTCACAGGATCCACGGTCCTTTTGTTTGTTTGACTTCCTGATTTCAGCATATTCACAAATGTTCTGCTTTGTTCGTTGCTGCTGTTGCTCTCGTTTCGTAGCGTTCGTGGAGGAGAAGAATCGTAATCATCCTTAGGGATTGCTTCTTTCTGCTGCTTCTGAAAGGAAGAAGGAGACAAATTGTAGTGGTTAAATTTTTATTTAAATCTTCAGTATCAAAGAGAGCACCACCTACAGCTTACGGGTTTTAGATGATGAAAAGAGAAAAAAACCTTCCTGACTCAATCTCTTGACATGGAAACATGGGCAACCAGGGAAATTTGACAGACATTGAATACCACTTCATTCCTTTCTACTTAGGCAGGGTGTTTAGTATTTTTTAATTTTGAAAAATCCTGATATTTTCCTGATTTTTTCACTATGAAAATTCCTGTTATTTTCCTGATTTTTCTCGACTCCTGGCACGGTAGGCAAAAAGCAGTAAGACTTTCTCCGCTGAGGAGATTAGCGCCAGAAAAATTCCTGAGAAAGCGTCCGATTTTTCCGATTTTTTCCTAATCGGCCAAAATTCCTGATATTTTCCAGTTTTTCCTGATGCTAGACACCCTGTTAAGTAATGGTCCCCAATTCTCCTCCCACTTCAAACCTGCAAAAAGCTTGTGTCCCATTTACTTCTCTTTTCAAATTTTTTCTTCCCATAAAATAACAAGCTAGGAAGACAATAAGGAAAGTAAAAAAGACCAATGTTTATAGAAAGTTTAAAGAGGACAATTCAAAAAAACTTACATTTTCATCGAGATGTTTGCAAATCACATCAGCCGCATCTTCAACGGTGAGATTCTCCTCTGTGACATATAGAAAGAGAGAAAAACACTAGCATTATTTCATTTCTCCAATACGAAAAGATGAAAAAAACTCTTCAGCGCAATGCACAGCTAAAGCTATTGAAATTAGAGGTCAGCTTTAGATGAATGATGGATATCCACAAGAGGAGCACAATATCGATGTTATTGTTCTGAGAGAAATTGGACGGAGTTAAACAGAAAGGAACCAAGCCACATCGGGATCGAACCGAGAAAAAGAGGTTTAAAGTTTGGCTTCTGCATAAGACTCAATGTAAAAGATAAACTTCAAGTTCAATTTCTGCAAAGTTTGCTCCAACAAAACCTTTGAATTTTTGGCGATAGATAGTAGAACAGTGGTTGAGTTCAAAACCACTCATAACTCAATTTTTTCCAAAATGTGAGTTGGTTCCTTTCTGCTTAACTCAGTCCAATTAACCTTAATAAAAGCACAATTTGATACCTAATCTTGAGAAAACTCGTTGAAATGTTGTGTAAGTGATAAATAAACCAAACAGCTGATAAGCTGAGGTAATTAATTTAATAAAAAAAAAACAAATCTGCAAATCATCTTACCCAGAAGCAAGCTGGTGCTATACGCAGCAATTTTAACTCCTCGCCTGCGCGTCATCTCTGCCTGCAGTCTTTTCACTCTTCGATCTCTTTTCATGGCGTTCTCCATTTTCTGAAAAAAATAATGAGAAAACAAAGATGAGATATATTCAATCACGTTTTAGATTTTTCACATTTTAGATTGCTGTATGCGCTGAATAGGGTGCATACAGCAAAGGAGTTAAAGTAATCTGAAACCACCTTTAACTTCATACGTTAATCTGTAGCATCCATAAAAAAACTATTCACTGAATGACTTGTCTTAGTTTTTTACTTTTACAGCAAACTGCGTTTCAGGTCACATTGCATCAGTCCCCAATGGAACTCAAAGGCTGACATGCTGGAATTAGGTGATTTTTTGTGCCTCACCCCTCTAGAGATTTTTATTATCCTTGGAACGCATGCATCACGGTGGAATGCACTGGAACAGGGTCCTTGCAATTCAGGGAGCGATCCACAGCGTTCCAACTTCAACAAAATATTTACATTAGAGGTTAGGATCGCTAAATGGAACTTAATGAAATGCCCTGCCACTACCTCGGAAGAGCGATCCAGTGAATATCTGTGGAACGCTTGGAACACGCCTGCGGCTCAGGATAAAAGATTACAGACTATCATAGCGATACATCATGTTCCACTGAATGCCAAATAAAAAGAGCCCTTCCTTCACATTTGCGCTCGGCAAGTTGGAATGACAAGGTGGTTCACATCGCACTGGGTAACCTCAAATGAAGCAACAACCACTTTCGCCTATTATAGCGCTGTGTCCTGAAACAACATTCCTATTAAACTCTGGTCCCCTTAACTTCAGAGCCAATTTAATGTCATTCCTAAAATTTAGCCGAAAATAGCGGTTCCTTACATCAAATTGTGCTAAAATTTTACTGACTCCCCATTCCAGTGACATACCAAGGTTTTGTTGTTTGTATCAGGTTCGAATCCTTCGTACTTTACATAGAAGGGAGATCATCATTCTGTAGCAATTAATGAAGAATAACTGCATTATTCTTATACCTTCCTACATCTGGCTGTTGCATTCAAGAGCAAATAGCAAAGTTCATTCCAGTGATTGACAACATGTTTTGTCCCCTTGAATAGTTAGTTCTGTCTGATAATCCATGCACTTACCTTCTTAGTGAAAAGGTCGAACAAGTTCAAGTTGTGTGAGGGGGCCATTCTATCTTCGTTAATCTTGATTGACTGAAGACTGATTTTCACGATCTGCAATTTTCACTTTCACTTGTGAGCACGAGAATTTCACGATCTGCAATTTTCAATTTCACTTTCACTTGTGAGCACGAGAACTAGAGTTTTGGAGGGAAAATAGACGCATTTAGTGGTGACGTCACGAAGCGATATTGTTGGTTCGATATCTCGAAAGTCGAAATGTGCCCCAAAAAACAAACATAACCTACAAAATGAACAATTGACGAAATAATGCTAAAACTAGCCTGAAACCAAACAATTAATCCATGGGACTTTAAATTTATGAAAGCTAGTCATTAACCAAAACGTTCGAGCTCACAATCACAAGAATTGATTGTATAATTAGCTCGTAATATCATAGACAGTCATCAAGCGAATACCCCTTCCCCCCTGCCTATATCCCGCAGATTCCTCCATGTTCGTTGGTTGGGGCACGTTTCGACTTTCGAGGTATCGAAATTATAACGAGATGTGACGTCACACTAAATGCGTCTATGCGAGTTTGTCTCTGGTTAAGAGAGTTATAGAAGGGTGTCCGAGGGGGGGGGGGTATAAGAACGCGCCTTCACGCTGCAACCTGGTATACATGTGGTGTGTACAGAGTATACCTCTCTAATTCCTCTTATTCTCTGAAGCTACCTGAAGTTCGGGTTGCCTACCTATCGCCTATCAGACGAGCACGAGCCCGAGCCCCTATAATGAGCAGCCCCACTCTCCACTCTCTATCTCAGATCTCAGAGGGACGTAGCATTGCAACATTCTGTTATTCTGTTCTGTTTATTAATAAGAAGATTAAATCTCGTTCCTCAACGACTTACACCCTAATGGAACGAACTAGTGTAAATTAAAACGTCACTAAACCATTAACACTCGAATGGTTTCGAAAATCAAGAAACGACTGTTGAAGAAGAAAGAATATCGCAGAACCCAGAAGTCGAAAGTCCAGGATCAACTTACACCATCAACTTCAATTGATCTTGATCCTCAGCCTGTTCCTAGCAGCGCAACGAAAGAAGGAAATGCAACGTCTCCCCCCGCCAGATTTTCAAATCCTGCTTCACCGATACGCAGCAAAGATACCCAGAAACGACTGTACAAAAAGAAGTTATATCTGTTAAAATCCAAGTGTAATGTACACCAGTCCCGTGAGGCAGATGATTCCAGCACATCCAAATTGTCAGAAGGTAATTCGATTTCCAGCAATAGTGTTGAGAGTGAAAAGCTTAAAGAAGCGGGTCCAGTTGAGCGCTTATTTGAGCTTTCTCAGCAATCTACGCTGGAAACGACAAAATCGACTGGCAATGCAAATCATCCGACCGTAGAAGATACAACAACTTTAAGTGAGTATCAGGTGCCTTTTTCACTCAGTAGCCAATCCTTGTCAGTCGATAAGTCAGTTTATGGCAATGTCAGTGTTGAAAGTGGAAATCAAGATACAGCCCGTCCAGATGGTCAGTGCTGGTCTAAGTTTTCCAAGCAACAAGAACTGAAGCCGAAAGAACTGAGACGCATAGGAAGCAACCCCACTAAGATGGCATATGAAATAACTTCATGTGAGCATGCGGTAAATGTGACCGCTAAAACTCATGATTCTAGAAGATCTGAATTTGAATTGTCAGTCGGTACTTCGCTTTCCAGCAAAGATATTGAGAGTGAAAAGCTTAAAGAAGCGGGTCCAGTTGAGCGCTTATTTGAGCTTTCTCAGCAATCTACGCTGGAAACGACAAAATCGACTGGCAATGCAAATCATCCGACCGTAGAAGATACAACAACTTTAAGTGAGTATCAGGTGCCTTTTTCACTCAGTAGCCAATCCTTGTCAGTCGATAAGTCAGTTTATGGCCATGTCAGTGTTGAAAGTGGAAATCAAGATACAGCCCGTCCAGATGGTCAGTGCTGGTCTAAGTTTTCCAAGCAACAAGAACTGAAGCCGAAAGAACTGAGACGCATAGGAAAAGCTCCCACTGAGAATGCATATGAAATAACTTCATGTGAGCATGCGGTAAATGTGACCGCTACAACTCAATACTCCAGACATCATACACTTACTGTTGTTCGAAGAGGGACTAAAGAATACCTCTTTCAGAGTCATCGCGCTGCCGCACATCACCGTCGATAACCATCGATACGATTTGCACGGATCCGTATTTCATCACGGAGACAGAGATATGAACGCTCAAAATTACCTCGGTCATTACACTTCTATCATTCGATCCCAAGAACGATTTATTCTGGCGAATGATGGAACGATTCAACTGTGTGAGTGGCCTGAAGGAAGCAAAGATGCTTTCTTGCTGTTCTACCGTAGAATGAATTGATCAGGAAATGCAAATGTTTCCACCGTGATCCTCTAGCGTATTCCGCCAAAGTTCCTGTACTAGGAAATGCCTTTTGACTTTTGAAACGAGAAAATTCTATTCTTCTCCTAATCAAAGCTATAATCGTTCAATCTCGTGCAGTCCATGAAAGCAGAAGGAACGAAACAATTTGGCGGCTAACCGTTTTACGGAGAATCCAAGAAATAAAGCCAGGCAGCTTAGATGATTAAAAGTCTATAATCATCCTGATTCACTGCCTGAATCAAGGTGTGGTATAGGTGCGACTGTAAGGGGAGTAGGGAGGTCGCTTCCACCTAAACAAAAAAAATTCCAAGTTATGAAGCCAGGCAAGCTTAGATGATTAAAATATCCAATCATCCTGATGCAGTGCCGCAACGGCTCAAACTCTTGCACTTCTATAGTGCACCCGAAAATCAAGGTGTGGTATAGGTGCGACTGTAAGGGGAGTAGGGAGGTCGCTTCCACCTAAACAAAAAAAAATTCCAAGTTATGAAGCCAGGCAAGCTTAGATGATAAAAATATCCAATCATCCTGATGCAGTGCCGCAACGGCTCAAACTCTTGCACTTCTATAGTGCACCCGAAAATCAAGGTGTGGTATAGGTGCGACTGTAAGGGGAGTAGGGAGGTCGCTTCCACCTAAACAAAAAAAAATTCCAAGTTATGAAGCCAGGCAAGCTTAGATGATAAAAATATCCAATCATCCTGATGCAGTGCCGCAACGGCTCAAACTCTTGCACTTCTATAGTGCACCCGAAAATCAAGGTGTGGTATAGGTGCGACTGTAAGGGGAGTAGGGAGGTCGCTTCCACCTAAACAAAAAAAAATTCCAAGTTATGAAGCCAGGCAAGCTTAGATGATAAAAATATCCAATCATCCTGATGCAGTGCCGCAACGGCTCAAACTCTTGCACTTCTATAGTGCACCCGAAAATCAAGGTGTGGTATAGGTGCGACTGTAAGGGGAGTAGGGAGGTCGCTTCCACCTAAACAAAAAAAAATTCCAAGTTATGAAGCCAGGCAAGCTTAGATGATAAAAATATCCAATCATCCTGATGCAGTGCCGCAACGGCTCAAACTCTTGCACTTCTGTAGTGCACCCGAAAATCAAGGTGTGGTATAGGTGCGACTGTAAGGGGAGTAGGGAGGTCGCTTCCACCTAAACAAAAAAAGAAAATTCTAACAGCTTCGATGGAATCCTCACGATTGGAATCAATTCTCCTGAAGGACGCATCTGAAAAGTGCCAAACTTTGAAATGGCACACACCTTACAGCTGTTTTTCATGTGCCACATGAGGCATTATTTAGGCTGTGCTCCAAGAATCGACCTTGCAGAAACAGACTAATGCTTCGCTGAAGAAATTCTTTGTAAATATTTTTTTTTTTTTTCTCGCTGACTTGATACCAAAAAGACATGATATCTTCCCCCAAAAAACAAAAATAGATTTTTGTACAAAACTCGGCCCAATCCCAAAAAACTCTCTGATTATTATATTTTAAGAACAAATTATACCAAAATACCAAAAACATACGATAGCTCCGCCGTTTGAATTCATCATTTAAAAGTAGGTGATATCAAAACGGCCCAATTTCTCCCTTAATGCCAATGCAGTATACATCGCAAAGCTTTTTCCTAAAAAAAATCAAATAACTAAGTAAAACGTAAAATGGTCTAGGACACGTTTTGATCCATGCTTTAAAAGAAGTGATATATCAAAACGGCCCAACTTCCCTTAAATTTGCCCACCTCGGGGCAAAGTTCTTCGGAACTTTCCAATTCATCGCTGTAGAGACACCAACCATTACTTGACTTTTAGTATATCTCTTTGTTTAAAAATCAAAGACGTCCCTTTGAAAACTGTAATGATTTTTTCTTTAAAGTTAAAAAACACAAATAATCGTCATAAAGTTGGAAAAAAATTGAAGGAAAAAAAAGGAATGGGCCGGCCGGCACGTACCAAAAACAAGTTTATACGTTATTACGTACCAACACTTTGGTATGGGTTACAAACCTAGTCCTGCAAACATTAAGTTGTTAGCAAAGAACCATTTTAAGTATCGCTAGGATGAGGCACATGCCTATTAATACGCCAAGTTTCAGTAGGCAGTTTGTCAGACGCTCTGTCACGAACAAAGACATCGCTTGAAAGCTGTAGGTAGGTATTTGGGAAAATTAGTTCTAGGTCATCAGAGCATGACTGCTGAGATGCTCATGAGGCATTACGTCTGAACTAGTATAGTCCGAATGAAGAAAACTTCTTGCAAATTTAGCTACTGGAAAATGATTGAGTGATGCTCTCAGAAAAATTGATCCTGCTTTCGATGACGAGACACGGCTAAAGAAGTAGCGAGGAAGACGAGAATCACCCTGTCACCTGCTACCCATAAGTACGGCCGGCCGGCCCATTCCTTTTTTTTCCTTCAATTTTTTTCCAACTTTATGACGATTATTTGTGTTTTTTAACTTTAAAGAAAAAATCATTACAGTTTTCAAAGGGACGTCTTTGATTTTTAAACAAAGAGATATACTAAAAGTCAAGTAATGGTTGGTGTCTCTACAGCGATGAATTGGAAAGTTTCGAAGAACTTTGCCCCGAGGTGGGCAAATTTAAGGGAAGTTGGGCCGTATCACTTCTTTTAAAGCATGGATCAAAACGTGTCCTAGACCACTTTACGTTTTAGTTATTTGATTTTTTTTAGGAAAAAGCTTTGCGATGTATATTGCATTGGCATTAAGGGAGAAATTGGGCCGTTTTGATATCACCTACTTTTAAATGA